AATTAAAGATAGAATGATAAAATTTAAGTATATTATATATAAAAGGAATATCTTTAATTCTATTCAATAAATAGGGGAGGTCAAGCTTAAATAAATTTTAAAAAACTTTTTAAAAATAATTTTAGCAGACAAATTTGCCTGCTAGATGGTTTAAGGGATAAACGTAAAATCCTTTTAATTACAAGATATATCTTTTGAATATTTTGAAAAAAATAAAGGCAAAGAGTCAGGTTAGTTAACACTTAAAAAAATTAGTTAGACTTACCATATATTGCCGAAAATAAGCCACCTCTGAAAATAAGCTACCCCCTCTTTTCTTGGAGAAGAAACATAAGAAAATTTGTAATTCTGAAAATAAGCTACAACTAATAATTTCTTAAAATACAGAAGTAGTTTCTATATATAGAAGTCAAAATTCTATTAAGTAAATCGATGAAAGTCACTTAATAGGAGTTGTTCAGGACGTGAAAATACACATATCCTAAAAGTTTTAAGCAAATCAGAGAACCTTTTACTAAGATGTTTTTACATTTTATATTCAAATGTAAAATGCAAAAACATCTTAGTAAAAAGTTCTTATATTTGCTTCAAACTTTCAGGATATGTGTATTTTCATGTCCTGAACAACTTCTATTAAGTGACTTTCATCGATTTACTTAATATAATTATGACTTTTATATATAGAAACTACTTTCAGATTTTAAAGAAATAGTAAAAATCAACCTTTTCGAAACTTTACCTGAAAATAAGCTACCCCATGATTTTTGTATCACTTTTTTGGCCAAAAAAGGTAGTTTATTTTCGGAAACCTATGGTAGGTCAATATATTATACTTCACGTAAGCTTGAATATTATGCTAATAAAGTGTTAGCAAAATTGCCAAATTTTTGAATTAATTGGTAGTGTTGAGATATTATATTGTTTAAGAGGTTTAGAATTGTTGTAAAGAAATATATCAAATTGAATCATATAAATAAAATCTTCTTTTTTATCTTCCCTTGGGAAAAATCCAGGACCACGTAAACTTCCCTATTCAGTATCTTATGCTCCTATAAAGAAATTTGGTATAGATAATAATTCTACTTTTTCAATATTTTCTAAAGTTATTTTTATGTTATTATAAAGTCTTCCAGATTTTAATTTATACCAACCAACTAATTCAAAATCATTTTCACATACTACTTTTCTATAATAACAAGATAAATCATCAGAATATGTATTATACCTTTCCCAATATTTCTCTATCTGTTTTATGATATCTTTTTCTTCTGGTTTCAAATATATCTTTTTTTGTAAATTAGTAAAATTTTCTATCTTATTTTTTAATTTTTGTAAAACAGATTTTCGTTCTTTATGTGTTTTAAAATATAAACAAAGAAAATTACATCTTTTTTGTTGAATTAAAGGGTTGTTTGTTTATAAAATCATATGAATTAGAATTAAATTTATCTAAATATGAATCTACTAAAGATTCATCTTTAAGTTTAATATTAAAGAAGATATCTTTTATAATAATGTTTATAGTTATTTTTTCTTCATTAGAAGGAACTAAAAACAATTATAATAAATAATTTTTATAATCTGAAGCATTAATAGATTTGTTGTTGGGATAGATTAAATTAATTCAATTCTATTTGCTATTTTATTTATGTATAAAAATTTCTATTTGGTTATAACTGAATAGATAATAATTATTTATTTATTATTCTTTAATAGTAACTAGTTATATAATGGTTTCATTTTCCTCAATAATAATTTCCAAAAGAGTATAAATTTGTTTTGTTAAATTTTTAATAATTAATAATAACTGAAGAATTTTTCTTTAATATTAATTTTTCCTAAACAATTAAATTTACTCATCAGTGATAAGTAATTTTTGTAAATAAGTGGAATACTTTAAAATTATATTCTTCATTGTCTAAATCAATATTGACAAAAATGGTTAAAATTTTTGATAATCTTTACAAAATTTATACATTTTGAATTACATACTTAATTTTTTAACTAGTTTATAAACTAGCTAAAAATACTTTCGAATTTTGATTGATAATCTTTTAACTCAACCTTTTTGGTATTAAATACAATATGTTTTGGATATAATTTATTAGATAACTTTTCATATTTATTACAAATTTTTGTAATATATTTAAGTGAAATATTTTTTCCATCACAGTCACATTCTTGTTGTCTTTTAAAACAAATATGAAAAGGTTATTTAATGTAAATTTTAAGATCTGATTTTACCTTTTCTACTTTTTTTAATTTCTTACTAAGATAATTAAGTTGTAAAGGATTATTAATATTTACTTCTATAAATATTTTAGTCCATGATACAGTTCTATCTAATAAAATAATATTATATTCTGATTTTTCCTTAACAATTTCAATATTTTTTGCATATGCATCCATAATTACATCTTGAAAAAAAATGTATATTTTTCGGGATCTGTATAAAATAAATCAAGTTTTTTCTTAATATGAAGAGAGGCTTGAGGAAGAAATACTTTTAAATTTTTATTTTCAAAATATTCTTTTAAGTGTATTAAAAAAGTTGTTTTTCTAGCATAAATAGAACCAAAAATAGCAATAACTGTTAAAGATTTTTTCTGTTGTTGCTTTGAATATTTGATTTGATTCTAATTATTAATTTACATGATTAAAAATCTATTTCATAATTATTACATGTATTTTGTATTATCGTTTTAGTTCTTATTTTGTGGTTATATGTGACTAATTTGTGTTAGGTTAGTCGATTAAAATAAATTAATATGAATTAAACTGACCAAGACTATATTTAATTAATAATTTTCCTATTAATATTTCTTTTTAAATTTATTCCAAATAAAGTAAAAGATTTATCAAATGAATTAATTCCAAGACCTTTTAAAGAAAAATCTTTTAAAATAAATGATTCTTTTTCTTTTATTGATTTCTTTGCTATTTTAATTTAATTGACAATATTTTCAACATTACAAAGATAAATTCATTTTTAACATTAATAGAGTAAATTGCATTTGTAACAAAAAATCCAATAGTTCCTTTGGGTTGTTTAGCTAATACTGCTGAAAATTCTCGAATTTCTGCTGAGCCAACATAATATTTATCACTCTTGTTTTTTACTTGCATTATATAATTTATTAATTTATAATTCCCAAATAAATCAATTTCACTATCACCAATAGGAGTAAATACTATAGCAATTTTGTATTCTGTTCGAGTAGCATAACATTTGATTTGATTTCTTCAAAGTAATTCAAGTAAAGATAATTCAAGTTTATCTCTTTTTTGTTTAGTAGAAATCTAAAAAAAAGAGAAATAATGAGTATTTGTCATCATCATATCAATCACAAATCTAATATTAAGCTTTTTTATGAATAAATCTAATACTAGGCTGTTTTCACAAAATATAAAATATTAGGTTCTACAAGACATAATTTCCTATAACTATTCACAGAATTCAACCTTAATGCTTATAGAACTCACTTGTCCCAGCGTAAATTACAACCTAATATAATACTAGATAAATACTTAGTAAATAAGTTACTTTTTTAGAGATTGGAATCTTAGATATTTTAAATATGTAATATAATAATGATTAATTTTATAATAAAAAATAAAAACATTATAATTACATAGTTAAAATTCTATTTGGTTAAATAGACTAAATAGAAATAAATTTATTAATAAATATAAATAAAATAAAAATAATAATTTTATCATATTGTTGTACAGTTGTGGGATTATTTTCTATTTTAATATCTTTTTTAGAAAGAGAATTAGCTAAAGATTGAATTTCATTTTCAATAACATTTTCATGTTTTCTTTTTTTACTACTATACTTTATACTAGTACATTTTTTTAGAAATTGATTCAATAATTTTATCCAAATTGATTTTTATACTATCTGTAAGTAGATATTTTTTAAGATTTTTTAAATTACAAAGAAACTATTCATTATGTTTATCAGGTTTTGTTCTTTAAGGTGTTTAATTAATAATTGTATAATAAATCACTGTATTAAATATATAGTTATTTCTATTGGAAAATTTACAAAATCCAAAATGCACATTTATATAATTCAAATTTAACTCATCAATTTCAATACCGGCTTCTTTTTTAGTTTCATATATAGTAGATTCTTTTCTTTATTAAATCTATATATGCTTTGAAAATAATTAAAATAATCTTTTAAGAGATTAGAATCAATTCGTTGATTTAACCAAATTTGTCTATCTGAAGTAGCTAATAAATTAATAGAAAATTCTCTAATCTGATCTTTATATTTATCAATAATCTTTCTTCTTTGTCGCATTAAATTATTATTAATACTAATTTGACTATTAATTTGAGTTATAGAATCTGTAAAATCACAAGAAAATCTATGACTTTTAATTGTATCTAATGTATTTAAAAAAGTAAAATATTTTGAATTATATATAAAAAGATTATTAAATTCAGTTAAAGCTAAATTATATTTTTGTTTTGCTAGTTTAAAAATAAAGACATATATTTAAAATTCTAATCAGTTATATAATTGATTAGATTAGATATTATTGATAAAATATATTTTATTATTATTAATATATTTATTTTGATTAAATATATTTTCAAATTTACTATCACAAATATAAAATTCTGAATAATGATATTGATTATATTTAGAACAAAAATATGTTTTTTTATCAGGAACAACTTTTCATCAGATATATAAGAATGTTTATTTGAAATTGTTAACGCTTTTTTTTTTTAGTTGTAGCATAGTATATATATATTGTCGCAGCTAATGCTGAAATTTAGGGTCCCAATTTAAATCTATAATATCTACTAAAATTCACATATACTTTTTTACTAACAACTTTACTCTCAAACCCTAACCTAACACTAAAAAAAAACCTTAACGAAAAGGCCCAAAAATTTTTAAAAACTTCATAATAAAATAAGTCAAAATTTCAGCATCAGCCAATTTCAGCATTAGCCGTGACATATATTTTTTTAGTTATACAGTAGTATGGTATATATACTTTTTTTTGTGAGTTTTTTTTAGTCATAGCTAGCTATATACTTTTTTTTGAGTTTTTTTTTTGGCTGTAAGATGAAAAAGATAAAAAAATAACATGTACAAAACTAAACTATACTCTTTATCTAGTAAAAATTTTTTTGTTTAATTTTAGAACTATATAAAATTAAAATAAAAAAATTTTATTGAATTTGGTTTAGTAGTTGTTAAGATATTTTAACATGGGTTTAAAAAAAATTTATTTAAAAGATTTGTTTCTTTTTTATTGATTTTTTCTAAATATTTTAATAAAAATACACAGCATTGTATGTCCAGAGTAGGTAGTGTTTGGCAAAATTAAACAAAACTCAATTATCGAGTTTTTGAAAAAGTTGAGCATCTATCAGTTACACAAGTCAGGATTAAATTATATCAAATATAAAATTTATTTTTGAAGTTTAAGATATATTAGTTTTAAAAATAAATTTTATATTTGATATAATTTAAGGGAAGTGATATTTCCACACCCTATGCAGATCACTTTTTTTAAAACTTTGATTGAAGATATCTTGACACCCACCTAACCAAATTTGATCATCTTTTTTTATTTTAATTATAGAAAGCTGTAGAATACAAAAAAAAAAATATTGATCGAATTTGATTAGGTGGGTGCCAAGATATTTTTGATCAAAGTTTGTAAACAATTTTGCCGCAGCTTATCTTTGATAATTGAACCTAGGTGCCGCACAAAAAATGTGTGGCAGATCCTTGATTTTGATTGGCTAAAATAAATTAAGCCGGAATTACTCATAATTTTACTAATGAAATCGCAGCCGCCCATTAAGTGAAAATTGTTCCTGGGTCAATTTTACCATAATGCGTGCTTATTTTTTAAAAATTTCTATTTTTGTAATGAAAAAAATAAAAAGTTAATTCCGGCCGGAATTTAGTAAACAATTTTGTAATGCGGACCAAAATTTCGAAGATCTTCGGCCATTAGCCAATCAAAATCGAGGATCTGCCACGCGGCAGCTAGGTTCAATTATTTTGATAGACGTTTTGATTTTTCTTTGACTTTGAGCGAAGATATCTCGATGCCCTCATGACCAAATTCGATACTTTTTTTATTTGAATTCTACGAATATATAGAATTCAAATAAAAAAAATTTCATCGAGCTTGATCAGGTGGTCGTCGAGATATCTTCGCTCAAAGTTTTAAAAATAATTCGGCGCAGCTTCTGTTTTGATTTTCCTTTGACTTTGAGCGAAGATATCTCGACGTCCACATGATCAAATTCGATATTTTTTTTTTTAATTCTACGAACACGTAGAATTCAAATAAAAAATTTATTGATTTTAATCAGTTGGTCGTCAAGAAATCTTCGCTCAAGTTTTAAAAATAATTCGGCGCAGCTTCTATTTTGATAGACGTTTTGATTTTTCTTTGACTTTGAGCGAAGATATCTCGATGTCCTCATGACCAAATTCAATACTTTTTTTTTTATTTGATTCTACGAATCTATAGAATTCAAATAAAAGAAATTTAACAGGTGGTCGTCGAGATATCTTCGCTCAAAGTTTTAAAAATAATTCGGCGCAGCTTCTGTTTTGATTTTTCTTTGACTTTGAGCGAAGATATCTCGACGTCCACATGACAAAATTCGTTAATTTTTTTTTTTTTTGAATTCTGCGAATTTGTAGAATTCAAATAAAAAAGAATTCTTTGAAATTGACTAGGTAGTGATAGAGATATTTTTGCCTGAAGTTTAAAACAAATATAGTTTACTTTTCAATTTCTAGTAGTTTAGTTAAATAATCAAATGCTTCCTCATATTTGCCCATAATAAAATTGATTTTTCATCTATGGCTTAAGTCAATTGATTTATTTTCTAATGATTTGGTAATTTATTTATTTTCTAATGAATTTGGTTAATTTATTTATTAAACCAAGAAGTATTTCCCCTAATAAGATAAATCTTTTATTGATATTCAATTGTGAATTATTTTTATTGCTGTTTTCGAAATGTCGAAAATATCATTATTTACAAAAAAAATTTTCTGCGAATACTCGAATATTCAATTGGTTTAGTACATTGACTCGATGATCTGAATAACAATGATTACTATTCTAAATGACTTGTTAATATTCTAAACTAATCGAATATTTTCAAATATTCGCGTAATAATAATAATAATAATAAGTTAGCTTTGTATTGAATTGTAAAGTAATTGACTGCGAAAAATTCAATTACTGTACTTATCAACTATTGTGGTGACATTAGTGATTTAGAAAAAGATATATTAATTTTGGTATAGAAATTTTCTGTAAAAAAATTTGATCACTGTACTTACCAATTATTGCACTGACATTGGTGATTTAGGTAGGGTTATGTAGTTTTTTATTGGATTTTTC